AGGTCGAATCAAAATTTTCTTGAAATTCCTTGTTTTCCCTTCAGTTCACGGTCTGAACTCGCAGTTCGCGGTCTGAGCTTAATGCGTCTGTGAACCAGGGTACTTCCACGTGTTGTGAAACTCGCCGTTTCACCCTAGTTCGTGGTCCGCAAGCTATGTTCACGGTGTTCAACGCATCCATGAACCTCGGGGTCTGCTTATAAAAGGGTCATGAACACCATATTTTCGTCAACTTCTGGCTATCCAAATAAAACACCAACCACAGACCTAATATTCCCTCGTCAAGGGCGCATTCGCTGAGATATTGGGAAGATTTGGAGCTGATTTTTCTGGTGAGGCGATTTCCGTAGAGCCTCCGGCGAGACTCCGATGACCCCTCTCTGGCATTTTTTTGTGCAATTTTTTGACTCCCTCCCCCTAACCTCACTTCCCCTGTGATCATTCTTGAGTCTCTAGGTTAGTTTTTTTAGCTTACCTTTGTTAATTGTGGAGAATCGGATTAGGGAGTGAAGTGAGGTGAATCTAGTGAATTGATTGTTGAGCATAGAAATAGGGCAAGGGATTAGTTGATTAGTGGTTCATGAATGTTGAATGTGATTTGTATGAGCTTAATGGAGCCTTGGTGGGCGTAATTTAGGTAAAATTGCTTTTAAATGTGAAATTTGCCCACCAAGTGCAAAAATTATGAATGAATGTGGAACTTTTATGTTTGAGTGGTGAATGGTAGACACCGTGTCATGGTTTGGGTTGAATTTTTGTTTGGATAAACCATGAAACACCGACAACCATGCCTCAGTGTGCTTGAGTTTAATTGTTTCAAATGTCATGGAACCATAATGGGAACACAAGTGTGAGGAGAATTCTTTTTCCTCCCAGTGAGTTGAGATTGACAATTGTTTCCACGTATGGTGCATGTTTGACTATTTTGCATGATGCTTAATATGGATCATGAGTACATCCGATACTTGGTGAACCACGAATGGTTCGGGGCCAAGTTCGCTTACCAGATGAACAGTGAGGTGGGGCCTCACTAGATGCTTGATCTGGACATGTTCAACATGTTCAGGTGTAGAGCGGCAATGTATGGTGTTGTTTTCCACCCCCAGTGGCGCCAGTTGATGACGGTGGATGAGCTCATCTACCAAGAGCTCTGCGTGGAGTTCTACTCCACCTTCTCCCACGTGGTCCCGACGACTAAACGGAGTCGGCCCCACATGGATTTCATGTTGGGAGGTCTGCCGCAGGTGCTGCATATGACGCCTTCACTTAGGCCATGAGGTTGGTCCCCACGCACATGATGATGACGTAGCGGCAGTACACCGTCGACTTCCATTGTCAGGCAGCGTTTCAGGCACTCAGCCGCCCCGAGCACCAGCATGATGAGTTCGAGGCCGACCATACAAATGTGGTGAAGTTGCGGACCCCATGGAGGATTCTGCACACCCTACTCACTAGGTCTGTCATCCCTAGTCTGCTAGTTTTGAGCCGATCATTTTCTTCTTGTGTGCTTAGATCCCTCTTACCATGTGAGTAACATCATAGTTGTCACTAGTGAGTATGATGGAGGCATAGGTTTATTCCACTCCCAAATATTGATTGTCCCGAAATATTATATCCCCTAGTCAACCTCTTTGAGCCTTGTGACTTTGGGGGAGTTCTCTTGTAGGAGCTTTTCACTCGTAAGCTTAATGGTGTTTGATAGAACGACCCCCATCCTTTCTTCATGTCTATACGTGAGTCGTCCTTGTGTCCTGGAGCTCCTGGTTAGGAGCTCCATTGAGGTTATACATAGGAGGATTTGGTGCGGCTCTTGCTAGGAATGAAAGAGAAAAGAGTAGTGTTGGAGTAAGTTGTTAGAAGAGAGCATTGGTTGTTAAATGTAATGTTGCAAGTTTTTTACTCTCTAGTACCCCCCTCAAAAGAAAAGAAAAGAGAAAAAGAAAGAAAAGGGAAGTAGAAAGAAAAAAATAAAAAAGAGGTAATAAAGCGGGGTAAATAAAGTAGAGAGTGCCAGAAAAATCAAAGTGTATGCTCTAGGAGGGGTTTCTTGACACTCAAGCCATTGAAACACCCACATTGTTGTTGAACTCCTTCACTATTATGTTTGAAATGTGATAGCAAAAGTAGGCCGAGGAAGTGTGCTTGAATGTGGTTCGTGATGGGTGATACTTTGGAAGGGAGAAGTAAGGTTTTTGGCTGATGCTAGTGGCCATTGTTTGTAGGGAAGGTTCTTAGTCGAAGCCATAGAACCTTCGGTTTTAAGGTGAAGATGTAGGACCTCATGTTGTGTTTGCCACCACCCAAAAATCATTTTCCCCATGTCCAAGACAATTGTCAGTCATTTTGAACCCATTCTAAGACCTCTGGACAAGCTAGTGATGACAACCATCCCGTGAATTCTAGCATTTAGAGGTTGCTGCCATGCTGAAGAGACGTTAGGTCCAAGAGTTGATGATTGTGCACATTTTTTTCACTAAATGGTCCCGACCCCATTGGTCAAGAGAGTGAGTTATTCATTCTTGCTTTGCATGTCATATCAAACCCTGGTGAGGACCTTTGTTTCCCACTTGTTCATTCAGAAGTTACTGCCGCCGAGTCAGTTCACGCACGTAAGAACGTAAACTGCAGCCATGGACCGTGAACTCAACATATGAAAGCGATGCGTTTTGGCTAGGTTCACGGTCTAGGCCAGATGTTCATGGCCATGAACTGGGTGCGATCAGTTTATATAAGGAGAGCTGACATGAAGAAGAAAGGGGAGCCCAAACTGATAGAAACCTTCTTCTTCTGTAAACTTTAGAGAGAGAAAATCACGAACCAAGAGGGAGAAGAGGCTAGGGTTTGCTCCAATTCAAGAATTGGGAAGTTCATCTTCAAGGGAGGATCTCTACAAGCAGAAGGAAGGATTGAGGCATCACAATGATGGTTTTTTCCTTTTTCCTTTGTGTTCTTCCTTCTTCTAGAATGGAGTAGTCTCCTATTCACTTGGGTGTTGTAGAACCCTAAGTTCTATCGTGTAGTTGATTGTGTGGATTGAATGATTGTGTGTGGGTGATGTTTAATTTAAAGTTTTGAGGTATTTTTTATTATTATTGTGCATTTTGTGTGCTTGGCAATCTATTGTGCTACCCTAACCTAGCTTAGAGAGAAGCCCCATTTTCTTAAGAGGCTCAAATTGAGCTGGGTTTTCTTAGGCATTCCCTGCCTCCTAACTAGGTTAATGTAAGACGAACCTCTAAACTCAAGTTAGACATCTAGGTTAATTGTGATTAAGTCGTCCAAACCTTGGTTTGAGGGAGAAGGTAAGTCAACCCTCTTTTTCTTGGGCCAAGAGGGCTACTTTCATAGCCTATAATGCATTCCTTGACCTAGCGATTGAGAGTGTGGTTTCCAATCATTGTTGCTCCTCCTACAGTTCTCAATCGCCTTGTCACGCACCAATTCATTCGATCCCCTAGTTCATGGTAGTTAGTTAGGTGGAAACAACTCCCGAATGAAGCTTCTCACCAAGAGTTTCAACCCTTTGACTTTTCAAGCCATGCACTTTTAATCGTAGATTGTAGAGATTTTTGCAAACTTCATTCCGCTAGATAATGTTTCAAACAATTGAAGTAGGGGTACATGGACCGGCTCGGGTTGATATTTAAACATGCTTGTGCTATATTGCACCCATTTAAGGTTTATACTTGGGCCTTAGGTGTGATTTAAGTGTGATTATCGGAGCGAGTCACTGGCTTAAGCTTTTGTTTGTTGTTCTCCACAAAGGTAAATCCCTCATCAATGACCATAACCTTGTTACTTGAGGAAGCAAGAGTAACCTGTGTTATAACCTCCCTGAGGGATCCATCAACTTCTGCCTACTCCTCAACCATTACCTCCTTCTCTTTATTCTCAACACTTGCCTCCTTATTAGAGCCAGTACCTCCAGACTAAGATTCAACCAAAACTTACTTCTCACTATCCTAAACCATTATCTCCTTGCTAGATTCACCATCAGCCTATATGCCCGCCATATTTCCCACTACTTGCTTCTGGATCCTCCATGACCTTTTCTGATTACTCTCAGGGTTTAAACAATCATAGCCAAACCCCATGCACTCTGAACACCCTACAGTGATAGTATTCAATATCCAACATCAATTTGGTCAACTACTTGGTGGCAGAAATTTCCACACATATCTTTGCTTCCCTAACTTAGTCCCTGTTTTAGTTGGTAGGTCCATACACAAAGGTTTCCCTAGAGAACTTGCTATTTTTCCTAAAACCTCCTTAGACTTGAATTCTGCAGACATATTAGACAAATTCACCCAAAATGGAATTAAGGAATTGCCAATTGCAAGAGGTTGGATAGTCATAATCCACTTTCTAAAAAACATTATATTACCTCGATGACGTTAAAGACTGCTCTCAAATGCCCATTGGCAAACTGAGGCAGATGAAACTTGATGAAAACAAGCTATTCCCCCAAATGAAGACACATACTTCCTCTTCTCATCCCCGGATCTAGTTTGCCTAGTAGCAAAGCGTAGATAATGACGTTGGAGAAGATAGGAATTGTCCGAAATGGTTGTGCTCCCATCGTTTCGTACCTTCCTCAATCACAAACTTCAGGATGCGAAGCGAGCCACTAAAGAATTCTGGCTCCAAAAACTCCAATTGGAAAACAAGAGCTACCACCATCGACGACGCCTGATGGGACTTCGTATCCTAAAAAATTTAGTCAGCGACGGTCACCATCATACTGAAGAGCACAAAAATGATCGTGTTCAAAGAAAAGGAGAGACTTGTATCCCAAAAAATTTAGTTAGGACTTAAAGCAAAAGAAATATACCCATTAAATTAAATTAGAGGGAAAATTTTAATTTTCTTGTAAAATTAAGATTTTTCGATTTGTTCCCCAAGTTTGAACGTTGCACCCCAACACGCGGATCGACTATTCACCTCCTATTTGCTTTTTTCAATTTTTCATTCTCTAGTAAATTTCTTCCGTATTTGTTCTCTTCAATTATTCTACGGCGATTTTGCAGAGTCCAACTGCCCTCCATCCATCTTCCATCTCCATTCGCGCAAATCCAAATCGCTTTGTCCACTTTCTTCCTCTCCCAGCACCTGTTCTCATTCCCAAATCTCTTTCTACGATCAACATAATGGCTCACAACAACACCGCCAATACCCTCGGCTGCTCTAATGAAGATCATGAGGAATCGAGCCCTCTCTTGAACAAGATGAATACCAATGAAGAACAAGTATCCGTTAAGAAAAACACTAAAGTATTGGCGACCACCGACACCAAGCCTACCGCTTCAGTTTCTCCAACGGCGAAATGGACAGTGGTGGATCAGGGAGGTTCCACCGCGGAGAATGGGTGGATGGCTAATGGGTTGCCGTTGGGTCACGGAAGCGTTGTGGGGGAGCCTATGGGCAGGGCACAATGGGATTCAGGGATCTGTGCTTGGTTCGGCCGGAACGACGAATTCTGTAGCAGCGATCTTGAAGTGTGTAAGTCTTTCGGTTTCCGTCTTTTTTCCTTGCTTAATTTTGGAAGATTTGCTTCTTTGCATTCCCCCTACAAGTTTTGTGGAACATTGATTTCTGAGATTTGTTGGGATTCCGTTTCCTTACCAATTGAACCGTCAAAAAAGACATTGACAGGGCATCTATTCAATTTGCAGGAATAAATAGGGAATCTCTGGTCAGTTCACGAAAATAAAAAATTGACGATTTTTTAAATATTTACCTTTATGGTTTTCTTACTTTTAAGGAGTGTACCTTTGTCATGATATCCCTTCATCACTTTCCTTTTACTTAGGGCTCCAAGATTCATGATGATCAGAAAAATGTATGTCGTGCCTTTGATTCATATAGCCCAATTCAACCTGTTGCAACATTAAAGATAGTTTGACAGAGACTCGATGTAGTATGTTGTTCTGTGAAGTCGTAATAGTGTGATGGTTTGAGTTGCAGGTCTTCTTGGAAGTGTAGCCCCTTGTGTGTTGTATGGAAGCAATGCTGAGAGACTAGGATCAGCTCCAGGAACATTTGCAAACCATTGTTTGCCTTACATTGGCCTCTACTTGATTGGTAATTCTGTGTTTGGCTGGAACTGCCTTGCTCCATGGTTTTCATATCCCACCCGCACTGCAATGCGTCGCAGGTTTAACCTCGAGGCAAGTTAATGTCTCTTTTCCCATTTAGTTTAGGCTTTTGTCTTTTCTCTACCATTTTTTATATTTTTCTTAAAGGAAAGTGTGTTGTTGATGTTGGGGTTTGGATGAACAGGGAAGTTGCGAGGCAGTGAACAGGTCATGTGGAGGTTGTGGAAGCTGCATTGAAGACGAGTTCCAGCTCGAACAATGTGAGACTGCATGTGATTTTGCTACTCATGTTTTCTGTCACCCATGCGCCCTTTGTCAGGAAGGCCGGGAGATTAGGCGCAGGGTGCCACATCCTGGCTTTCAATCTCAGTCGATGTTGGTTATGCTCCCTCCCGCTGATCAGACCATGGCCCGTCAGCCTTGAATCTCTCACCCTGATTATGCATCCAATTAGAGAAGGTCATTATTGGATGTTGATATCTCATACTTTTTCACCGCCCTTCTGGTCTTGCTTCCTCTCAGGCAGTCTGTCTAGTTTCATGATCCTTGTCGGAAGAGTATATGTTGATAGAGGTGGTTGTCGTTCTTTTGTACTAAGCATGTAATGTTTACTATATTGTGCTCTTGCTACTTTGGATTGGACGAAGGATGTAGCGGTTACTTACTATAACATGCGTTCTTGCAGTAACAATAAAAAGATGATGGATTTAGTAGGAGACTTTGAAATTATATGTTAATATAATGCAGTTCGGTGATAGTTTTATAGCGTTGAATGCCTTTGCAATTTTGCTACACTTTCATTAGGCCATTTCTCACAAGTTGATATTCATTGTTGAAAATAATTCCATGTATCTAAAAACATAAATATTTTGTAACAGTAGGAGGAGGACTCCGACAATTAATAGAAGGGAATTAAAGAACTAGAAGAGAAAGGGAAATATTCGATAAGAAGGGAATTAAAGAACTATAAGAGAAATTGGAAGATTGGGGAAAACGAAAGGAGAAGAACGACTAAATTATACGTATGGTTAGGTTGTTAGTCGGTTGGGTTATAATCATAATCATTTACTTGGTTAACCGTAATTACATAGTAAATTTTGGGTTATTTTATTGCATTTTAAAATATTAGTCAAACTTTTGAAAATATAAAATATTAGTCAAATCTTTAATAGTATTACAAAATTTTAGCCATATTTTGTTACCATTAAAAGTATTACTAACTTAATTCCGCCTCAGCATCCGTATTGGTATCCACATCATATTTCATTAAAGATATAATTTTTAAAAAAAATAAAAATAACAATATAGGTTCTATCCATGGCAGCAACATGCGTTCTCTAGTAGCACTTTCCTGGACGCGAGGTGCATCCTTATCCTCTAGGATGGACATGACCCTCATGCCTGATGCACCCACACCCTCCCTCCAATTTCCCGTCGGCTGCAATCGCTTGTGAGGTGGGAGGCCGGAGTTTAGCCTACTCGTGGGATCACCAATGTGGCAACTATGAGTAAAGATTCTTCGTTATAAAAAAAAAACAAACTTCTAAAACCCTCACGGGAGTGATCAGGAAACACCATTTCCTCCCTCCACTCTTCTTCCTCTAACCCCTCTCTCACTTGGCTCGCTGGACGTCTTTGTCTTCCATTTTCCTATCGTCTTTCCCTTTCCTTTACCTAGCGAGCTTGCCAACGCTACAAGTTCTTTAAAAGACTATCGGGAACCTTTATTCCCAGATCCAAACAGTTGTAGGGAAGGGCAAGATCTATCTGTTTCTTATGTCATCATCTCTCTCCTAAGGTGGCGACCAATTAACCGCTCCAGTGTCATTTACAACCTCAATCTTTGGTGCCGCCTCTAAGATCCAGAGAAGTGAATGGAGGAATAATTATTGGGTGAAACTATGGAGCGAATCATGGTATAACAAAAAGAGATGGGTTGGTCAGGTGATTGATTGATTGATTGAAATGGAAGGAAGGAAGACTGGAGTTAGTGAGAAGCAAGCTCATGGAAATGGACCGAACTTGGAAGGGGACAATTTTAGTGCTTGACTTGGTATGGAAGGCCGCTATGAGGCTCATTTGGCAAAAATAATGACATTTGTCGAATTATGTCAACCTCGCCCAACAGTGATCGTGGTTAGCATCGAGGGAACACTAGTGGGTAGAAAAGATGACCGAGGATTCTTGCCAAAACCGATGCAAAAAGAAGTTGGTTCATAGATGGATTTTCCATTGCCGTGAGGTCGGGCTCAAATGAATCGAGTTGCAGAATATACTTTGGACTTGGAAATGTGAGGAAATGTTTGAGATTTATGGAATGCCACTAGGTTAGAGATTTTGTTTGGTAGTCATATACTTTGGACACATACCATATTTTTGGTTCGAAGCTTAGGTAGCAAGTCGTATAGAGCTTATTTGAGAGGACTGTGTAGCTTCCCTATGTCGAAAATTCAACGAATAGTCATATGGGGGTGTGCTTGGTGAATTCAAAAATTGATACATAGAGGATATCAGGTAAACTATCAAGAGAAATTCTGAGGTATTAAGGTCATAAAAGATGTGGTACAACATTGCTATAGAAGAGGAATACTTCATTTCATGCTTTATTAGTGGATTAGAAGAGTTTAGACCAATGGTTCTATGATGCAACCTCAGTCCATGTCACCTGCATTTCAACTGTGAAGATTATAAGAGGCTTCCAATGAAGCTCAGCATATGAAGCTGAGAGGGTCTAGTTTAAGACTCTATCTAACTTTCTCATCTGGTTTGGTTTCCTCTGCAGTGAAGAAATGGGATTCCCCTAAACAGGCTGCTCTGACTAGACTTTACTAAATACTAGAAGAGATAATACTAAGGGAGTGCTCTACAAACTGTAAAATGTTATATCTATGGCCATATGTGTGAACCTAAGAGGCAACTGAAAGCTTTGCAGACTGGTGAGATAGTAGTATTACCTCATAGGGGTTGGAGTGAAGATAAAGCCATTGAAATAGTAGAGGAAGCTACTAAAGAACCTATTGACGTCACTATACAAAATTTCGATGTGATCAGGGTTCTGAAGTTGGGGTCACATGATATTGTATTGGAACTGGATTGATTAAGATATTTAGGTCAAGTTAAGTTTGACTTCATAAACTTGTAACTGTTCTTTGATCTATATGGACAAGAAGTAACTTTGAAGGGTTTATAAGAGTTTGGGAATTGTGGAATATCAGTTTCATGGGTTTTACCCTCAGGTTGAGACTAACAACCAAGAGTGCTGGAACAACATGAATGGTATAACATCCTTTCCCTCTTACATGCTCACGTTACATCTATGTGTCGCATTCTTGTGATAAGGATTGATTAAGATTCGTCCACTGGGTGGAAAATGGAGAGGTTACCGAATTCACATGATTACATGGATTAAATTGGGTCGGTAAATAAATTACCAATTTGGGTTGTGGTGAATCAATAACTTGGAGGACTTACTTGCAAGAAAAGGGAAGTCGGAGGAGTAAATGGCTACCAACTCGTGTTCCTGCCATTTGTTGAGTGGAGATTGGAGAAGGAGAAGGGAGAAGAGTGAACTAGAAGGGAAGAGGGTGCATAATTTTGCACTCTTCCTCCACTTACCTTCTTATCCCTTATCTCTTTCGTTTCTCTTCTAAAACCCACCATCGCTCTTGTCCTTCACCATCATCTCCACCATAATTAGATTTGTCAAAACCCGAACTAAATGATAAAGCAATCCCACATAGAACACAAGATTTACGTGGTTTCCTCAACGTCAAGCATTGACACTAGTCCACGGCACAAGGCATTAGGTTTTCTTATTCATAGAGAATCAACATCCACCAACACAACTATTAGTATGTAGATATATATAGGGTCGGCTAGCCCTATACTGATACAAGTGGCTAATTACATGAGCCACCCAAACTTCCTCTTCCAACATCATATTCCAAGGGTTAGATCAAACCTAGATTTCTAGAAACTATAGAGGAAAGATCGTCAACAAGGTCAGAACCCCCATGTGTCCATCTTTTCTCCTTCTTCCTTCACTTTGGAACCAAGAACTCTAACAGTAGGGTTGGAGGGATTCAACGAGTTTTGGTTCTAGAAACCGTATTAGGAGTCATGTTTGAGTCTGAATAAGTGACTCGCACGAAACTACACCACAAATTAATCCCGAATAGAGCCCAAGTTTTTAAACACTAGCTGGGTGCAGTATAGAGCAAGTATTTAAATTGTCAACCCAGGCCGGTCCATGTACCCCTACTTCAATCTCTTAAGTTGTTATTCAGCAAAACGGTTTTGGGTTTGAAAACTAAGAAAGCTACAAACTAAACTAGAAAGGAAAATTCTAACTAAGGGAGTTTCACCCAAGAGTTGCTTCCCCCTAACTAGCTACCGTGACTCGTTGGATTGAAACGATTCTTATGGGCTAGGTAACCGCGAACTGCAGAGGGATGCATATATGGTCGTAGACTACAATCTCAATTGCTAAACCTAGGTGAGCATTATGGCCGTGTCACTCGGCCCTCTCAGTTTAGGCAATCGGTAGTTGACTTACTCCCTCACTCAACTCAAAGGTCAAACGACTTAATCGCGATTAACCGATTTGCTTAATTCAACATTGAGGGTTGCCTAAAATTAACCTAGTTAGGTGGCTTAAAAAGCTTAAGGAAAACCAACTTGATTGAATCTCCCTTGGAGGGGGATTTTCCTCTCTAAGCTAGGTTAAGGTGGCTAATTAGATTGCTAGCACCAACATGCCCAAACCTAAATGTGCTAAGCACAATTATGCACAATCCTTAGGTTGCTAAGCACCAAAATGCACAAACCTAAGGATGCTAAGCACAAAACATGCACAACCCCTAGGTTGCTAAGCACAAGCATGCACAATCAACATGAATAATACCTCAATCATTGAATTAAAAAATACCCAATGACAATCATTCAATCTAAACAAGTAATTAAAAAGTATTAGTTAGGGATCTACAACACCCAAGAGAAAAGAGTGAGTTTCTAGAGAGAGAGAGAGAGAGGGATTACAAATTTGAGATCTAGATCTTCTTCTTCTTCTAGGCTTGAATCTCCACCCAAGCCTCCAATAATGCTCCAAGATCGCTCTAGCACTCTCTCTCACACACTAGAACTCCCCTTTGAAGTTTTTGGGCAAACCCGAGAGAGACAAACCAATTCTTCTCCCAAAAAACCAGCCCCCCTTCTCCTTCAACTCCCCTCTCCTTTTATACCCAAATCAGGCTCAATTCAATGTCTTCGAGCTGAGTTCAAGGACGCGTTGATCAATTTATGGTATTAGTTCAAGGACGCATTGAGCAGTTCACAATCTTAGTTCAATGACGCGTTGAGCAGTTCATGGTCTTAGTTCAAGGACGAGTTGAGCAGTTCACGGCCATGAACATTGAAACGCGTCCA